ACACACACACACACACACACACACCTGTATTGCCGTGTGGTATCTCTCCAGCTTCTCTCCTAACTTGACTGTGCTAGCCGGGAGCCTTACGCTGGCACTGCAGAAAGAGACGACAGACACAAGTACAGTGACAATCCCACCACCAAGGAGGTGGGGATACTTGTCCCAGAGTTGGAGGAGTAGCTCCAAGACCACTTCACCCCTTGGGCAAAGAGAATATAGCCTCCAACACAGAACTAGCTTGTAAGGATTTGGCTAAGGTGAAGATTGATAGAGGCCAGGGGTTTTCCCTACCTCCCCAGAAGCACCTGTCAGCAGGACATCACTGAAGTGAGACAGCCACCACTCCCTCCCCTTCCATCCTCCCCTCATATCCCTCACATCACAGCTTGTCACTTCCACCTCAGAAATGCCTCCTGAATCTGGCCCTTTATCTCTCCTCTCCTGCCACACCACTGTTGTCCCTCTTACCGACTGCCCACTTCTATGTGCTCCTTTCCCCACCGCCACCAGTCTGCCTGGACCCAGCACACCCATCCCACCCTTTCCACTCAACCCCTTTTACCACAGATCAAACTCCTGGGCACCGAATATTAGGTCCTCGTGACCTGGTCTCTGTCTCCCTTCTCAAAGGCACCTTCATGTGCCCACACTCCAGCCCACCAGACACACCCAGCTTTCCTACTCTGTGCCTTCTCATATTCTGTTCCCCTTTTTAAAATGCCATGCATCTAGTTTTCCATCTGGTTCTTCATGCTGCAGACACTGGTCCCATCTCTTACAGGCTGCGTGTTTATTGTAGGCATGCACCCTGGAGCTTTGAGCCCTTCCTCCTGACTCCCACGCCTGCATCTCCATGCTGGGTGGCTCTTGCCCATTTGATAGTCAGATTCTTTCCTGAAGCTGTGAATTTCTTGAGGGCAGCAGCAACTGTATTTTATTCATCTTTGTTCTCTCTACACCCCATTCTCAGTGCCTTGGTAAAATTTAGAGGGTAGATAGATGCAGCTTGGACAAATGAAATTTCTCACATATAAATTCAATTGCTTTTCAGCTCCTGTTTAATTTTTCCACAAAGCATAATCCCTCAAATGATTTCATCAACAGGAGGAGACAACTGGGTTAACCATGGATATACACCAGGCCTACTGAAAACACACTGCCAAAAGCTGCCTTTCCAGAAAGCTCTACCCCTCCCCATTCCGACACCTTAAACTAAACCCTCCTCTAGTTTCAGAGTCCCACCCAAGTCCTGCCTCCTCCAGGCAGCCCTCCTAGATCCCTTCCTTTTCCATTCAGTGGGACTCAGTCTCTCAGGCTAGTCTAATCTCCCTGTCAGACCTGGAACCGCCCCCAACAAGAACTACACCCTCGGGCTCATAAAGGGCAAGGGATAAACTCTCAGTAAACATCAGAATCTGAACAAAATGTGAAGCCAGGGCCTCTTCCTGGTCGCTGGCTGACCTGCGAGTTAAGGTTGATTCCGAGTTGTCCTTCCTGGGACTCATCTGAAATGAGAAGGAAAGGCACTGGTGAGCGGGCACTTTCGGAAGTCCATCTGCTTAACCCCTGTCCACAGAAATATGTGGTCAAACTGTACTAAAGTCCCTCCTCTCATCTAGAAAATACCCAGCTGCTCCTTGGGCTCCTCAGTCCTTCTTGGGGTACCTGTAACCACCTGCTTTCCACCTGCCTCCCCGCTGCCCACAAGCCCTTCTGCAGGGCCAAGGCACTGGTCAGCACCATGGCTCCAGCCTTCTCCCTGGGGCCTGGCCCACACACATTAGGGGCACTACTGGCCAGCAGAAGAGTAAGCGGCCCAGTGAACCAGGGAACTAAGACTCAATACTGGAAGAAGGTAAGATGAGACGCCTCCATTCATATAATTTGTACAATTGGGGCAGAGCTCCAAAAGAACTCTGCATTTCTCTGTCCCTACTCCTCCCTCCTGGGCAAGCTTCCCAGATGTGGCGAGGAACAGACAAGGCAGAATGCAGCCCAAGGCAGTCATTGCAAAGTGCCTTCCCCTGCAGTTCTGGCCTTCCTCACTAGGCGGGGCTGGGCATGCTCATTTTACACCCACCTGCGGGAAATTGTGGTTGTTATGTACCATTAAGTCAGAACCAACTCACAGCTGACCGTTCAACAGGTTTTCAGAGGCAGTAAATCACATGGGAGAAGACGACGCATCTTTTCCCCATGGAGAAGCTGGTGGATTTGAACTGTATGCCTTTGGGCTGGCAGCGTAACTCCTTACCAATAAGCCACCAAAGCTTTTGGGGGAATTAACTTCTTTTATTTAATTCAATTTCTGCTTTTTGGAGGAGTTCTAAGAGTACAGGGTGTTCTTGTGGCCTAGTAGCAAGAAGCTGTGCTGCAATCCTGAAGGCACACGGTTTCAAACCACCAGTTGCTCTGTGGGAGAAGGACGGGCAATCTCCTTCCGTGAGATTAAATGCTTCTGAAACCCCGCCAGACGGTCAGTTATGAGTCAGCTCCAACTTGATGGTACACAGCAACAGGAGTACAGTAGTTAGTTAAAGTGCTTGGTTGCTAACCCAAAGGTCAGTGGTTCCGACCTACTGGCTATTATTCTGCTGGGGAAAGATGTGGCTGGCTGCTTCCTTTAAGATTTACAGTTTTGAAAGTCCTACTGGGAAAATAGTAGTCAATTTAATGACATATAACAACAACAATCAGGCAGATCGAGGTCATTATGAATTGGAATGGACTTTGACAGCAATGGGTTTTGGGGTTTTCTGTTCTTGGTCACTCAAGGAATCCAAAGCCTCTCTGTCAAAATGAGCATGCTGACGCACTCAGTGCCGTAGAGGGTGCTGGGGATGCTGACTTCTTTAGCCTGCCTTCCACCAGACTGGCAAGACAAGGCCACCATGAACTCTCACCCGAAATGATATGGTCCTGGAGCTGGAGCGTCTGAGGGAGCTGCTGTAGGTGATCTGGGTGGGCGAGGTTATGTCTGCTTCTTCTTCCTCCCTGTTGGGGATTTTCACCTGGATGGAGCAAGGGGAATGTCACACAAGAGGTTAGGGGCCCTGCCAGGCCCAGCATCCCTGGAGCGCAGGCTGCCCATGGGGACCCCACATGGTCTGGCTCATCCCAGAAGCTGCAGGAGAAGGATGGGTAGGCTTTCTCTATCACCTCCTGCCCTTTCACATCTACTGTTTGGGGCAGGGTAAAGGGAGGGACAGTCCTGTGGGACCAGGCTACCAGGCAGTGCTCTCCAGAAGAGCTTCTGGAAGACTCTGAGGCCACTCAAGAGGCCCCTGGGGTTCTTGAGTGCAGGCCTTGGATGAAGATGTGGTCCTGGATACCAGATGCTCTCTGCCTCATAGCTGATGCCCTTTCAATTGCCAACAGAGGTCTTAGCACCACCTATTCTAACAGTGGCGGGAAGGTGGCCAGCCTGAGGTAGGAGGACAGGAGGTACAATTGCGCCAGAGCCCACTGGGGTAGAACCTGACGGAAGAGCTGGCTTCAGGAAGGGGTTTTAAAGGTGGGAGGAGAGACAGGAGGACTGCCAACCTGGAGTGTGATGGGCTGAAATCGGGAGGCCGAGGTTGGAGAGTTCGACTCCTCCTGCTCTCTTGGCTCTACTGAGGGAGGGAAGCTCTTCTCAGGGAGGGCCCCCCTCTGCTCTCTAGTGGGCTGAGGCCCCTCGGAGGACAGCTGCTCTGGGGCCTGGGGCTGCTTGGAGACTACTGTCCTCTTGAAGGTCGTTGGCTTGGTCTCTGGGCTCGTGGCCTTCTCAAAGATGGATGCTTTTTCAGACACCAGTCTCCTTTCCGAGCCTGCTGATTTCTCTGGTGTCACCTTCTTCTCTGAGACACTCGTTTTTTCCAGAACTAATTTCTTCCCAGAGGCTGCTATTTTCTCTGACACAGAGGTCTTCTCCGGAGAGAGCGTCTTCTCCGGAGAGGGCGTCTTCTCCGGAGAGGGCGTCTTCTCCGGAGAGGGCGTCTTCTCTGGGGCTGGCATCTTCTCTGGGGCTGGCATCTTCTCTGGGGCTGGCATCTTCTCTAAGACACTTGCTCTTTCTGTCCGTCTCTTCTCTGTTGTCTTTTCTGACATTGGTGTGGGCACCTTCTCTGAAGTGGTTTTCTCTGAGACTGATCTCTTTTCAAATGCTAACGTCTTCTCTGAAACAGAGGTTTTCTCTGAGACTGGGGTCTTCTTCTCTAGGACTTCCTTCTTCCCCTCCTCTGGCTCTCTGCCTACTGAGCTCTCCTCCTCCTTCACCCAGGGGCCCCGCTGCCCCCGGCTCAGCTTCCGGCGGAGTGGGGCCTCCAGCTCCTTCTTGGGCACCAGCGGTTCCTGCCCAGACCCTGAATGGTCTCCATCACCCTCTTCCTTCAGCCTCTCCTGGATTGGAGCCTGTACAACTTCCACCACCTCTCGCCTTTGCCGCCGCTCCCGCCTTGACCTGAGGATGGCCTGGAAGTCTTCATCCTCATCTTTGGTGGCTTGCGGTGGTCTCGCAGGGGCCTCTGCTTCCTCTACACTTGGCAACCTGAGGCACAAGGGGGAGATAGAATCAGAGGATCCTAAAGGTTGGAAGGACCCTGGGATGCACCTAACTCAATGGAGATACCTCCAGGGCTATCAGATTCGGGGGGAGGGAGGGGTAGTAAGGTTCTGAATCCCCTAAATTTGCCCTACGTACTAGACTTCCAAGATGGTATTTTAACAAACCACTCCAGATTTTACCAAACTAATTCTAAGCTCCTGTAAGTGCCAATCATTCCTTGTTCAGTCTCAGTCAAAAAATACTGAGTGAGTGCCTGCTTTTCAACATGCCAAGTCCTGGGCAGACATTGTGGGGCCAAAGGAATAAGCACAATCCCTGCCCTATAGAGCTTGGATGGAGTTCAGAGAGGTTCAGGGATTTGCCAAAGGTCACACAGTTAATAGTGGTGGAGCTGAGAGAAAGTCCTTGCCTTCCACGTGGGTGCAGCTGGGATTAGGTGCTGATGCAGCCCACGTGCTGGTGCAGCCCCAGATTCAGATTCTAGCCTCACTTCTCTAGGGACCCACAGAGCAAACACAGCACAAGAGTGTCCACAGCCCATGCGTGCATCATTTTGCAGAGAGAGATTCTTTTCTGTTCCCATCATCCTCTTACCTCTCTCCTTGCTTCTGTGGAGAAGAGAGAACTAACTAGGGAACCACACTGATAAGCAGGGTGATTTCAGGAGGGGTGCCTCTCTGTCTCAGCCTCTGTTTCCACATCGGCAGGCTGGGCTCATCCCATGAGATTGCCTAGCACAGTCCTGGGAGCATTCAGTAAATCCCATGACCTTATATTCTTTTCCCAGTGGATAGGTAGTTGTGCTCCAAACCAAAGATTAGTAGTTCAAATCCACCAGTTGCTCCAAGGGAGGAAAATGGACATTCTCCTCCCAAGTGATTAACAGCCCTGAAAACCAGCTGGAGGGTCAGCCATGAGTCAGTTTCAACATGTTGGCAATGAACTGAGGTGAACCTAAAGTTTAGGTGCCAACACCAGCCCCTTTCTTTCTCTCTGAAGCTAGTTATAGAGCCCAAGGGTCAGGTAGGCAACCCAGTTTATGTATACAGTAAAGTCACAGAGCCTGACAGTTCAGATCAAAATTCCTGCTCCTCCCACTCTTTAGCTGTATGATCTTAGTGTGTCACCTAAGCACTCCTCCACTCAGTTTCTCTGTCTGTGAAATGGGTTCATAATATGGCTCTCTCAGGAATACTGTGAGTATTAAAAGAGACTTGTTGATAAATGTCCAACAAAGTGCAGCTCATGGTGGGCTCAACAATTAGTAGCAATTGCTGTGAGGAAGCAAGTGGAACCAGGAAGGATAGAGGAGAGTCCTGGGGAAGCTAAGAACTTGAAATGCATCTTTCTATTCTTCCGCCTCATCCCCTGGGTCTCTTACCCTAGGCTTGCTTGTACCAGGGCAGCTATGCCAAACTCCATCACCTGAGATAGCACAAGGCACCCTCACCCCGACCCTGCCCAGGCACCTCTCTGAAGGGGTCCGTCCTCCGTTCTGGGTGGGCCTGGGGGCCTCATCGTCAGTGGTGGTGCTCAGGTTGCGATGTCGCCGCCGGCGTTCACGCTCCCGTTCCTCCTCATCCTCCAGGGAGCGCTGCTTGGCCAGGCTGCAGAGAGAGAGGAGGCATCAGTGCAGCCCAGGGGAGACCAAACACCCCTCCTGAGGGGCCCAGAGGTCAGTCAGACAAATACCCTCCCCCCACCCCCGGGGCCTGCCCTGTCCACTGTTGGCTTTGGAACCCTGGAAATGTGGCTGGTCTGAACTGAGCCCTGCAGTAATACACAATACATTTTGAAGATTTAGGGCAAAGAAACCCCAAAATATAAAATATCTCATTAATTTTTTTGTATTGATTACAAGTTGACATAGTCCAGCCATGTCTTCTGAAACTGGAGAAATCACTATGGGGTGGGTTTAGGAACCCATCAGACCCATAGTAAGATAGACCCGAGTTAAGATACCATCAGTAGCCTGACCTACATCCACCCCTATTCTGACTGGTGGACCACAGTGACATTGTGGTCTCTTAGAATTAGTGTCAATTCAAGGCAGTGCACCATTAGCCTGGGGAAGTGTGATTATTATTATTATTATTATTATTATTATGATGTAAAATGGCTATAGTAATGTAAATTAAATAAATTCTTTTTTATTTTCTTTTATATTGCTTTGCATACAATTAAATAAATTCTTTTTTTAAAATAAATTCTTAAAATACATTTTACTTTGCTTAATGTGACTAGAAATTTTTTAAATTTCAAATGTAGTGAAAAATTATCTATCTATCATATTTCTATTATCATATTTCATATCTATGAAAGTTTCAGAGATTTGGGATAGAAATAGAACATGGTGTCTCCATCACAGCACTACTGACATTTTGGCCAGATCATTTTCTTTGGTAGAGAAAAACTATGTCCTCACGACTGGCGCAGTGGTTAAGGACCACCTGCTAACCAAAAGGTTAATAGTTCTAATTCACCAGTATAAGAGAATGGCGAAATCTTCTTCTATAAACATTACAACCTTGCAAACACTATAAGGCAGTTTTACTTGAAGCCAGGGTGTTCGCTTTATGTCATATCGTAGAATGTTGAGATGACCTGTAGTATGACCTGTAGTACACTATTGATACCGATTGTTGCTGTTGTGTTTCAAAGAGTAGGAACTGACTCACAACTGACCCTCCAGTGGGTTTTCAGAGGCAGTAACTCACACAGGAGGAGAATTCCCATCTGTCTGCAGAGTAGATGATGGACTCAATCCTCATACCTTTGGGATTACAGCGCAGCTTCTTACCACGAGGCCACCCTAGCAAACCTCCTGCAAGTAGCACCACCCAATCATGACAACCAGCAACGTTTATGTACATTGAGCAATGTCTCCTTGCGGGCCAAATCACTCCAGGTAAGAACCACTGGCTTGAGCCATACATTAGGTTCAGAACACGACAAGTCTCTTTCTATGGAACACAGGGCCTCTCTCTATGGAGGGGACTAAGAATGTGGGTGGGTGGGTAGGGACGGTTCCACCTGAAGCAGATAGATAACTTGACAAGTCTTTCCTCCAACCTCCCTGCCCAACAGGTCATGAGATTCATAGATAATCTCTCTCAACAGGCAATCACAGAGAGATTATCTTATTCAATTTCCCACAGATATTTCTCAGCTTAGAGGGAGGGGAAGACTCAAAAGTAAGGCAGATCTTCCAGAATAACGCTAATATCACCCTCCCTTTAGTCTCTGGGGAAGCTCTGGTGGCACAGTCCACAGAGAACTGCACTGCCGACTTGAAGGCAGCGCCTCTCTGCTAGTTTGAATCCCCCACTGGCTCTTAGGGAGCAAGACACACAATCTCCTCCTGCTATGATTTACAGCCTCAGAAAAACCACTGAAGGGTCAGTTATGAGTGACTCAGTAACAATGAGGTTTTCTGTTTACTCTTTGAGCCTTTTAGTCCTTGTCTTAAAGTATCATCATCTACCTGGTTTCCAGTTCCTGTCCACAGCTCTCACTCCTGGGACCAGTCACCCACCAATCCATCACCTATTCCTTCATTTACCCATTTAGTACTCAATCATCTCATTTTTCTACCCACTTCTACCCACCCATCCCCACTTCAGGATGGGAGGAAGAGTCATGAATAACCTGTGATATGCACATGACACTCATTTGCTTGCTGAAAACAAAGAGGACTTTAAGCACTTACTGAAGACGACCAAGGACTATATAGCCTACAGTATGGATTATCCTTCCACATCAAGAAAACAAGCATCCTCTCAAGTGGATGGCTAAATAATAAATCATAATAAATGGAGGAAGGAAAGTAGTCACTGATTTCATTCTACTGGTATCCACAATCAACACTCACCCAAGCAGCAGCCAAGAAACTAAAAAAAAAAAAAAAAGTGTATTGCATTCGACAAATCTGCTGTCAAGGATCTCTTTAAATGCTAAACAGCCAGGATATCACTTTAGAGCCCAAAGTGTGTCTGACACAGCCATGGTATTTTGATTGCTTCACATGCATGTGAAAGCTGGATAAGGAAGATCAAAGAAAAATTAATGCCTCTGAATCGTGGTGGTAGAGAACATTGAATATGCCATGTTCTGCCAAAAGAAGAAACAAATCTAAGAATAAGTGCTGTCAGAGTGCCTCTTAGAAGCAAGGAGGGTGAGAATTCATCTGACATTATTTAGGGCATGTTCTCAGGAGTGGTCAGGCCCTGAAAAAGGCCATCATGCTTGAAGAAATAGATGGTCAGCAAAGTAAATGAAGACTCTGCACAAGTGGTTTAACAAAATGACTCTAAAGTACAGCAGAGAATGTGAGGATGCAGAACTCAACAATATTCCTACTTATTCACTGCTCTCCAGCCCGTCTTTCCTTCCAGCCACCCAATCTCCCAATCCAACAGAGAGGCAAAAATTCACCGAGCAACTGCAGCGGGCCAGCGCCAGGTCAGCAACTGTGGCCTGTCGTTCATAATCGTTGTGTGTCATTTACACAACAAAGTTCTAGAAAAGTGCTGATCCAACCAAGGTGTAGCTATTGCTCTCTGAGCAAGAGAATGATTCCTGTAGGCTCCTAGGAAAGCCTCAGTCTGAGCTGGATCTCAGTGGGTGAAGAGGATTTCAACAGGGGTAGCCAGGGGATTGGGAGAACCCTCAGTGTAGGCAAGGCAAAGGGAAGACCTAAATAGGTCCAGGAGGTTAGAAAGGGTCAGCAGGTATTGATTTTGTTAGTGGTGAGAAGGTTACATACACTTGACAAAGAGCTTGAGCAGCAGGGTGACAACCTGTAAGGATCAGTGGGGTGAGCCTTCTGTGGAACCTCACTCAGACTGGGACCCACACTGGAAGATTCTAGAAATAGTCCCACCGTCTCTCCCAAAATTTGTGCATCAACTCCCACTGCCATGGCCAGGTGCTAAGCTCAGCTCTCCTCTCCTTTCCAGCTGCCCAACTCCCTTTCCATTGGAACTCTCTCCTCTTGGGGGGGGCATTATCATGAAACCATGCCTTGATTTAAAGATATGTTTCGGGGAAAAAAATTACAAGTGTCACAAATTTAACTGCACATGAATTGTATCTATGGAGCTTCCTGAAGAAAAGACTTTGGTAAGACTTTTCTAAGAGAATCAGGTTTTTCAGTTCTCCTGCCTTTGGGCAAGTTACTTTCTTTTTTCTTCCTCAGATTGCCTTCCTAATATGAGGACAAAGCTCTGTTTCCACCCCCCTTCAGATCCAGTATCACCTTTGTTCCCCCAACATTCATTAAACAAATACTGTGTAAGCACCTCCTATGTGCTAGGTGTGATTCCAGGTGTAGGACAGGGCGGAGAACAAGGTCAACAGGACTGATCCCTTCATGGAACATGTATGGGGTAGGCAGAGTCAGACCACAAGCAAGGAAGCAAATGCATGAATAAGATTATTTCAAATAAATGGCCCAAGGACAGAGCAACAAGATAAGAGATGCTATAAAAAGAGGGTGACTGAGTGAGGAATTGTCTACCTGAAGAGAACTGGCTCACAAGGAGCTGATAAAGCTGAAGCTGGTAGCAGAATGTTCCAGAAGGAGCAGTGAGCACAAAGCCCTGGGTGTGATTGGGACAGGCTGGTGTATTCTGGAGGGTAAGACACCATGAGGGGAGACTGGCCAGCAGGGAGGTAGGACAGGGAGGCAAGGCCCAAGCAGAGGACCTCACGGAGCAGGAAAGAAATCTGATTTTATTCTAGGTGAACTAGAAAGTTTTACTCAGATTAATGAAAGAACAGGATGTAGATTTTTAAGAGTTCTCTGGTGACTGGGGGGGGGGGAAATGAGAGGAATAAGATCATCTGTCAGAATTAGCAAATAGAAACAGGATATGTATAACTATTGAAAAGGAGAGGGGAGAAGGAAGAAAGGGCGGGAGAAGGGGTGAAGTGAAAAGTCACTAGGGCAGAAATTGGTGGATAGATGGGGGAGTAAAGGAATAGCTAACGTGCGCTGGGGATTTGATGAGACCGAGGTGATAAAACATTTATTGGTAGTAATTAATTATATAAAACATATGAACAATTGTATAAAACACAGTGTAAAAAATAAAATTTTAAGACCCACAATATGCATGAATGAAACATATTATTGATATATACAGAATATATATATTGATATATAATTATTTTTGTTGTTATTATTGTGTGCCTTCGAGTCAGAACCAGCCCAAAGCTGATCCTCCAGTGGGTTTTCGGAAGCAGTTAATCACATGAGAGGAGAGTGCTTATCCTTCTTCCAGAGAGCAGATGGTGGATTCGAACCACCTGCCTTTGAGACGGCAGCACAGTTTCTTACCACTAAGCCACTAGACCTCTAAACCAATAAAAATAATAAAAGATTTATCAGGAAGTTCCAATAATAATCCAGATGAGAGCTATGGTGACTTGAGGTGGTGACAGCCAAGGTGGGGCAAAAGTTATAGATGTGGGACAGATTTTGAAGGTAAAGCCAGCAAACCTTACAGATAGAGATCAGGGCATGAGGTTTCAGGGGAAAAATAATTTAGAAAACCCCCTAGCTTCCTGGCCTGAGCAATTCTTAGTGCTGCTATTAGTAAGATGGGGTCA